TTAACCGACTGAGCCACCCAGGCACCCCTCAAATAAATAAATCTTTTAAGAAAGGAGTATCTTGGGTTGGTTGATTGGTGGTGGTGGTTTCTTCTCCTTTGTATCTATCCGAATCCAAGCTAAGGGTCTTCGGGACTGGCCCCACCAGGAGAGGTGTACTGCCCATGCTCTCCCACCCCTGCACTCAGTTTTCTTCCCTCCTGGGCTGTGTAAAACCTCTGTCAAGTTAGGTGGAGTAGGCAGTGTTGGTTTTGGAGGATATGCATTAACGTGACCTAAGAATGCCCAAAATCAAATTTCACAGTGCATCCCTCTCTGGTAAGCAAGCTTCCCCAATTCCTTTCCCCCACCAAATAGCCAGATTCTTTTGATCCAAGAAAACCAACCTGTAAAGAAGACTACCTATGAAAAGTGCCAGATGGAAGAGATTTCAGGTCCAGGGTGTTGGGTTGGTTGACGACAGCAGCTTGCCAAGGTGGTCAGCACAAAGCTGAGCATCTCCTGAGGCAACCCTGTACATCTGTGCTCCGTAACATTTAGAATCACTCACCAGGGATCCCTGGGTGGTGCAGCAGTTTGGCTCCTGCCTTTGGCCCAGGGCGTGATCCTGGAGACCCGGGATCAAATCCCACTTTGGGCTCCCGGTGCATGGAGCCTGCTTCTCCCTCTGCCTATATCTCTGCCTCTGTCTCTGTGTGTGTGTGTGTGACTATCATAAATAAATAAAAATTAAAATAATAAATAAATAAATAAATAAATAAATAAATAAATAAATAAAATTAAAAAAAATAGAATCACTCACCATCCCAATGGTGCTATTTGTTATTATACTTTTCATCAACAGGCCCCTCTGCTCTGGCACTATGGGGGAGTACCTTCCCATGGTAGGGACCAAACTGCATTACAGGCAGTTTGGCCTTGAACTCCTGAATCTCTCCTCAAAAGGAATAAGTTAAACCCCCCTCTCCTTGTGGCTACTCGCACCCAGAAACTTCCTTTTTATCCATGCCCTCTATCCCATTTATAAATGCCCAGCATCTCTAGCAAAGACTGTATGGCTTCCTCTTAAGGTTACCTCCTCCTTTATCTGATGATGGTTGGTGAAACGGATCTGGAATAAATGAAGTTCTGATTTCATTGTTCCTCTTCCCCTTCCTTCCCACACCTCCCCCATCTCCAGAAATAAACATCTGATGCAAAGCATGAGTAGTGATGGGGCCAGATGGGTTTAGAGCCAAAGTTGTTGGTTAAGGTCCTATCCTAGCCATTTCCCAGCTCTCTGACCCTGAGCTAGATTTAACCTCAGGATTTGGGGTTGGGGGGGGTTGTTTTTCACCTGTAAGAAGGGAATAATTATAAGAAGAATGCCTATCTCTGGATATTGAGAGACTCAAATACAAGAATATTTTTCAACATGCTAGTGTTATTTTGGGCAGTGGTTTTGGCTTCATCTGCTTGGTTCCCACTCATAAATCACCTCCTGGGACAGTGTAGAAACCAGAAGAAAAGAATGTGTGGCTCCAACTGGGATGTCTTAACTGCTGGGCCCACAGGAGAGCTGAGTGGGCTTGGATATGGTTTTCAAAAACACTCCCGGGCTTGGCAGTGCTGGCCAGCCACGTGTGTGCATCATCAAGCCCCGATCCCAGTCTTTTCCTTCCTTAATATGGTCACCTTCAGGACTCAAGTATACCCGCCTACACATTTCCTGCCTGAAGCCAGGGCAACTTCTGGGCACAGCTCCCAAGGAGGAAATTGTTCTCATTCTGGGACAGATAGCCAACATCAGCTGCTGCAGTCCCAGCTGCGACTTTTGCAGCCCTGCTTCTCTGTCCTCTCTGCTCAGGGAAAGAGCCAAGTGCAAAGTTTGCTTTTTAAATCCTTAGATATTAAAACGTGCCTGAGTGGCTTCCTCCACATCCTCACTTCCTCCCTATGTCAACACACAGGACTTGCAGCAGTGCATATTTGAGCCACCTGGGAAGCTTAGAGAGATGTTGATGCCCAGGCCACACAGACCAAGTACATCAGGGTCTCTGAGGATGGGGCCCAGCCCTCGAAGTGTTAAAGCTCCCCAGGGAATTCCAGCCTGCAGGGATCTCTTTAAAATAAAGATTCTAATTTGGCAGATCCGAGGTGGGGCCTAAGATTCTGCACTGCTAGCAAGCTCCCAAGTGGGCCAGACACCACCATCCTGGGACCTCATGGTAAGTAGTGAGGTTCCTGGGGATCCTGTGAGCTTCCAGACCCTGCACTGGAGCCAATACCAGAGCTACTCCCACCATGGTAATTGGGATTGAAAGATGGTCCAGTTCACCCCCTCTGGTGACTTCAGCCTTTTCCTAGATGGCTTAAGACCCTGGCTTCCTCTTCCAGGAAGTTATGCAGACCAACAGGTAGCATTAGACTCCTCCAGCATCCTGTGCAGTGTGGCCAGTCTCGTTCAAGGCTCTCTGAAGCTGGTGGCCCATTGCACTACTGATACCTCCATCCACACCTTGATAACCAATTGCCTTTATCTGCTAGCTGACAATATTCCCCAAAGGTCCACATGAGGATGACAGAAATTCATCTTTGTGACTTTGCAAACCCTCACTTTGTTCAAATTACTTCTATGTGGCCGAATCCTCACCTCATCCCAAATGTCTCCAGCAAGAAAGCCACTCAGGGCAGCAGACAGCTATCATAAAACTCATGTTTCGTTGTCCCCCTTCCCGTACTTGGTGGCTTTCAAAGGAGTATTTTATTGTCCCTCTTCTCTCATTAACGTGGCACTGGTCACCTACAGGAATCCAGCATATAGGCAACTGAGATTTTGTGAGGCTGAGCATTGCTGATTTTTTTTAAGATTTTTTTTTTCTTAATTCCTGAGACACACAGAATGAGAAGCAGAGACACAGGCAGAGGGAGAAGCAGACTCCATGGGAGCCAATGTGGGACTCGATCCCAGGACCCCGGGATCACACCCCGAGCTGAAGACAGACGCTCAACCACTGAGCCACCCAGGTGTCCTGACTGATTTTAATATTAACATTCAAGGTCTTCAAACATTCTCCCAAAGGTGGCACTACCTTTCCGGACAAGGTCTGACCCATCCCCCCCACCTCTTTCCTGCGGGTCTTTTCTCTGTGCCTGGAGGGGCAGTATCAGGACATGACCAGCAGAGGGCAATGCCAGCCCACAATCGGAGCTGACTCCCCGGGTCCCAACCCCACACCCTCTTCCTCAGAAAGCCCCTGGGCTTTCTTGCCAGACCCTCACCCTGAGCTGAAGCTCTAGCCCTACTGACTGTAGGGGAGACCTCAGCATCCCTTTTGCATCTGAGAGGCAAAGCCTCCGCAAGAGCATCCTGGTCAGCATCTACCTGCAGTTTTCTCCACATCCTGATCTCATTAGTAAATTAGAGCCTCCATCAATCAGAGGATGGGCCTGGGCTGCATTTACAAGGGCTCCTGGCAATTGGGGATGACTGGAAAGACAAGTCTTTCAAGAGGGATCAGCCTCTGTTTCCCTTAGATTTGGGATGCGACTCTTTATAGAAGACAATTAGAAGTATAGCCCCATCCCCAGTCTACCAACACCTTGACCGTAGGGTCACCTGTGCTCCCCATCCTGGCCAGTGCAAGTCTCCATTCTCTGATCACTTGACCCCTTGGCACTACTGCATGGTGGTTCATGCCCTCATACTTGAAGTATCTTCTTAGCTCCAGATGTTCTAGGAGATGCCCTGGGGCACAACCAGAGTAGCTTCACTCTTAGGCTTAAATACAAGAGTTCCATGTAAGATTTGATTTGGAAAAGGGGACCCTCACTTTCAAAGGGGTTTGAAGAAAGAGTTTGAGGGAAATCCTCACTATCAAGCCTCCCACCCCTCCACCCACGATAATTTGCTTGATTCCTCCTCCAGCTCGGAAGCCCTATGTAAATATCATTGATGACCATGGACTGTCAACTGTGGTCATTATTAAGAAGGCAGCTACCTGGATGATGAGCATACACTGCAAACCCTAGAAATGAAAGAAAGGATATAAGAAATAAATGCACCTGTGTGTACACTCACACTCACGTGTACACACACATACCCATACTGGAAACCAAATACGAGGACTCTGAGTGAATCAGAAAAATATTTGAAGGAGTGAAAACAGATGGTGTCTGATTGAATCTACAGCCCAGGAAAATGGCTGAAGGTCCTGCCCCAAAAAGTAGATGCAATATCAAGGGTGCTTCACACCCACCTAGGATGATCACTGAGGTATCTGGATGGGTGTAGCCAGGCCAGCCGACCCTCAACCACCACACTAGCCAAGCTATAGGAACAAGTGTGTGCCCCCAGGTGGGCAAGGCAGTGGAGGATCTTGGGAGAAGTCCCTGGCAATGCCCACGAGCCCAGGGCCAGCAGCCAACCTTTCTCCAGGAGGGAAAGGGGTGCTCAGCACCCAGAGGCCTCTGAGAGGAGTCTCACCAACAGGAGCACGCTCAGGGAGGCCTGGGTGGCTCAGCATCTGCCTTTGGCTCAGGTCATGTTCCCAGGGTACCTGTAGGGAGCTTCTCCCTCTGCCTATATCTCTGCTTCTCTCTGTGTGTCTCTCATGAGTAAATAAAATTTAAAAAAAGAAACATGTACAGCTGGAAAGTCAACTTTTATCACTGTAAAGACTGAAGACAAAACTTTCCCTGGCTGACAGTAGGATGAGCAGGCTAGGAGATGTCATCTGTACACCTAAGTGAAGCTACCAGTCAAGGAAAGGGGTCTAGAGGAGAGAGCCTTTGGTGGAAAGACCCCAGGTAGGAGGGGACACAGCCGCCACCCTAGGAATGGGTCCAAGCCCCTGGCCATCACTGCACAAATCACACTGCGCCCAACTGAGAAGACAGGCCACCCCAAAATGGAGCCATTTCGAGGCCACTCCCACCCCAGAATGCCACTTGAGAAAGCCCTCCCCTGCCTGCTGGCCGCCAAAATTATTGTGTTTGCCAGATCATTTTGTAGCCACTCTCTTTTATCCTTTTATTGTATTTTATTGTGTTTTATTTTGGCAGGGAAGAGACCTTTAAATCAATCTCTTTGCCTGTTTTCACAGACCCTAAGAGCTAAAACTGCTAGAGAGGAAATCGAGAAGATGACAGTCTTTGAAACTCAATCCCACACACAAGTCACTGTCCTAAACCTCGAGGCAGTAGGAATATAACTGCCCCCAATTATTCTTGTTCAAGAAAACTCCCCCTGTTTCACTGACTTGGGAGGAGAGGGACACCTGAACTCATCCAAGCATAGGGACGTTCAGGGGGGCCACAGCCACCTTAGGCAGTCCTTTTCCCAACTTCTGGTCCAGGATGACTGAGGAGAGCCTAGAGAAGCTAACTACAGGGTGATGGCAGGAGACACCCTCAGAAGGCTGTGTTCTCGGCTTGGGCCCGGGGGCCAAAGAGCTGCTCAGCAACCACCTTGCCATCATACTTGGGCAGTGTGCCCCCAAAGTCAGCAGGCAGTATGTCTTCATCAATCTCCTGGAAGAAGCCAGAGAGGTCATCTCCATGGACAAAGACCTGCAGGGAAGGAAGCCAGGGAGACAGAGCTGAGTGGGGGGTGCCCTGAGGATGAGGGACGGAGGGGAAGGCCACAGCATGCCATATCTGCCTGGTGGTGTCCATCTCCACCGTCCTCCATGTTGTGCTGTCACTCAGCTCAGAACCATGGACAGAGCCCGAGGAGGGCCTGAGTGAGGTCCCTTCCTCCTTTCACCATCATCCCCTCCTTGTCTCACAAACTCTTTCCTCTTACATGCTCCCATGCCCCCACTGGCCAGATAATCACTGAGCACCCTCCAGGTGTGGCCATGCACTCACTCTTTGGAGCAGCTTGTTCTTCAGGAGGGGCTTGACCATGTTGTAGGTGGTGGTGAAGTACCATGGTTGGTGGATGAAGTGGATGGCTTTGAACCGCGCTGGGAAGGAATCCTACAGGGACAGAGAGTGCCCCACCCTGTGGCCCCTGTGGGTTCAGAGGCTCCCATTCACACCCCCATTGCCTCTCCCCACAGCTCCAGGACACACTTGTCTCCTCACATGGTTGCCCCAAAGGATAGCCCACTAGGAGTTCCATCCCTGGGCCAGCAACTGGGGAGCTTTGGCTTCACCAAGGCTCCAAACTGCAGGGAGGAAGCCCCAGGGGCCAAGCAGCCCAACCCTCTCCCTGCCAATGCCTAACACCTCGCCATTAAGTACAGTGAGGAAATGAAATGGGAGCCTTGCTTGGTTTTTAGGTGATGGAGCTTTTTCAAGCCAACTTGACTGCTGACTGGACTTACAATTATTATAGAGCCCAGAGACACTACTGTCACACATCACTGTCCTCCAACATCCCTTCATGACAGCCATCTCACACTCCTTTCCCAGGTATACTTAAAGCAGATTTCAGAAGGCTTTCTGACACATCAGTATATGCAGGAGTGAGTCCGGGACGTTAGCTATAATCCCTTTCCTGAGACAAATTCACATTCAAAGAGAAGAGGATTCCAGGTCAAAAGGTGTAGGCAGAAAAAAAAAAAAGGTGTAGGCAGGTTCAAGTCTGACCTCTGCCACTTTAGAGTTTTATGACCTTGAGAAGTCACTCAACTCTCTGAGCCACCGTTTGAGCCAAGGTTTGTAAAATGAAGCAGGGAAGAGGGGAGGGTCTGCTCTCAAGGAATTAAAGAATGAATATGAATGCTTGGCACGCTGTCGATCACCACGCAAGTGTTTGTGGTTTGCTCATTATGGTGCTCGGCGGTCTGCTTCTTGGGTCACTGCCAGCACCATTAAGCCAGGAACCTGGGCCCAGCTTCCCAGCCTCCTGATCTGTGAGAGGCTCCTACAGAACTGAGTGCTGAGGCCTCACCTGGAGCATGTCCACCATCTTCCTGAGATCGGAAGCCCGAAGTCCAGCAGCCTGCTGCATGGTAAAGCCCTTAAAGTTCTCAATAATGCAGAAGCCATTAATTTGAGTTTCCTCATTCTCTAGTAGCTTCTCCAGGATGAAACAATATGCCTGCAAGATCTTGGATACAGAGTGAACAGGTTGTAAGACTCAACATGCAAAGATAATTGAGGGGAGAGCTAACTAGTACATCCCTTACTGGAGGAAACTTGTCACACTCTTTAAACTGGGACATTCCACCTCTGGATGTGCCCCAAGAAAATAACCTTGAGTGTCATATCCATGGTTAGAAGCTGGGGTGTTTATTCCTGTACCCTTATAATAGTAGAAATGTTAGAAGCAACCTAAATGCTCAACAATAAGGGACTGGTGAGGGATCCCTGGGTGGCGCAGCGGTTTGGCGCCTGCCTTTGGCCCAGGGCGCGATCCTGGAGACCCGGGATTGAATCCCACGTCGGGCTCCCGGTGCAAGGAGCCTGCTTCTCCCTCTGCCTGTGTCTCGGCCTCTCTCTCTCTCTCTGACTGTCATAAATAATAAAAAATTAAAAATTAAAAAAAAAAAGGACTGGTGAAATTATGGTACATTCATGCCATGGAATATTCTGGAACAGTTAAAATGATATCTATACAATGATACAGGAAAATATTTATTCATGATATACTTTGGTAGGGTATGATTCCATTTTTATAAGAAAAGATATGTGTAGTGTGGACGTATGTGCATGTTTCTTAAAAAAAAGTGGATCGGAAGGATGTCAATGATAGAAATCTCTGGGTAGTAGAATTGTAGATGATTTTTAATTTATGATTTTTTGCATTTTCTAATGAGCAGATACCACTTATATAATAAGAAAAATCTATTTTTTAAAGATTTTATGTATTTACTCATGAGAGACATAGAGAGAGAAGCAGAGACATAGGCAGAAGGAGAAGCAGGCTCCCTTCGAGAAGCCTGATGCAGGATTCAATACCAGGATCCCAGGATCATGCCCTGGGCCAAAGGCAGACACTCAACCACTGAGCCACCCAGGTACCCCAAAAAATATATTTTAAATAATCTCTTTTTAAGATTTTATATTTGGGGGTGGCTCAGCTGGTTAAGTGTCTGACTCTTGATCTTAGCTCGGGACTTGATCTCAGGATCATGAGTTCAAGCCCTGCATTGGGTTCCACACTGTGCATGGAGCCTAATTTTTTTTAAAAAAAGGTTTCGTTTCTTTTTTTAAAGATTTTAGTTTTAAGTAATCTCTACACCCAATGTGGGGCTCGAACTCACAACCCTGAGACCAAGAGGTGCATGCTTCAACTAAGCCAGGCGGGTACCCCAAGAAAAAATATTGTTAAGTCTCTTCCACAAACACATACATGCACACACACACCCCTCAGTCCTAACACCAGTATCTTAATGTAAAACACCATAGGGTGTTGGCTAGCTCCAGGACCATTTAACTCTCTCTTGGAGATATTAGCCAATGCAACCAAGTTTTTTTTTTTTTTTAAATTAAGGGCATATAAGTAGAAAAGGAAAAGAAAAATTGCCTTTTATATTTATATAATATGTTAGCATTCTTGGAAAACCCAAGAGAATCTACTATAAAACTAACATAAATAACAAAATAATTCAGGATATAAAATCAATATTCAAAAACAATTATTTTCATATTATTTTCATATATACCAACAATAACCAATCAGGAGATACAGTGGTAGAGAAAATCCCATTTACAGCTACACTTAAGACAAACTTAAGGAGAAATATGTATAATGTTTGCGAAGAAAATTTTAAAGGCTTCTAAAAATTTAAAAGTAGGGGGCACCGACTGACTCAGTGCATAGAACATGCAATTCTTAATCTTAGGATCATGACTTTGAGCCCCACATTGGGTGCAGACATTACCTAAACAAATATTTAATTTTAAAAATAATAAAAAAAAATAAAAGTTCAAAAGTAGGCTTATAAAAGGGACTGCACCCCTCGTCTGTGGACAATACAGCTGGCCACGGATGTTGCATTCGTAAAGATGCTAACCTCCCCCCAGTGTGTTCCCAATAAAAATACATTTCTCCTGGAGCTAGACAAGTTAATTCTCAAGTCTATAGGGAAAAGAAAAGTCTATAGGAAAAAGTGGACAAATAAAAATAGCTATAAAAGCCCTGAAAAAGCGGAATAATAAGAATAGAATTAACCCTAATATATTAAACATTCTACACAATCTCTGTAATTGAAACAGTGTGGTATTGGAGCATGAATCGACAGAGACCAATGGCACAGAATACAAATCCAGAAATAGACCCAAATATATATGAAAATATAGACTATGATAAAGATGGCATTTCAAGTCATTGGGGGAAAAGATGGACTTTGGCTCAGGTCATGGTCTCAGGGTCCTGGGATCAAGCCTGTGTCTGGCTCCCTGCTCAGCAGAGAGCCTGCTTCTCCTTCTCCCTGCTTGCGCTCTTTTGTCTCTCTTTCTTTCTTTTCTCTCTCTCTCTCAAATAAATAAATAAAATCTCTTTAAAAATTAAATGCAGAGACCAAAAAATACAAAAACACTAATTCAAAGGAATACATGCACCCCTATGTTTACTGCAGAATTGTTTACAATAGCCAACCTAGGGAAGCAGCCCAAGTGTCCAACGATACACAAATAGATAAAGAAGATACGTAGATACACAGTGGAATATTACTGAGCCATAAAAAAGAATGAAATTTGCAGTGGCATGGATGGAGCTACAGAGTATAATGCTAAATGAAGTAAATCCGTCAGAGAAAGACAAATACCATATGATTTCACTCATATGTGGAATTTAAGAAATAAATGAGCTAAAGGGAGAAAAGAGAGAGAGAGGCAAACCAAGAAACAGACTCTTAACTATAGAGAACATACTGATGGTCACCAGAGGGGAGGGGGTAAATAAGTGATGGGGATTAAAGAGTATACTTACCATGAAGAAAAAAAATAACATGACAAAAAGAAAAAAGTCATATGGCCAAATAAATAAATATATACAGAGAACTCAGGCTGCTTAATGGGTTAAAACTTTGGCTTTCCAGAATCTCTCCCAACCCACCATCTATTAATCCCCGGGCTCTGTGTCACTCTCAGCTTTCAGCACTGGCAGGACTGACCCACACCTCACTTCCACCTGGCCGGGGTACCAGGGAGCAACCAGGTATGGGCCAGTGGCCCCCCTGTGAAGCTGCTGGGTCTTCTGGCTGCCCTGGCTCACCCTAGGAACTCCCTGCCTGGGAAGGTCAGCCCCCACTGACCTCATCGAAGGTGATTTCTTCGGAGTCCCAGTTCTCGATGTTGAAGAGCATGACCACTCGGCCATACTTGTCCCGACTGGGGAGGACCCCAGGATAGCCGGCCTCGACGGTGCAACGGACAGCCTCCAGGGACAGGCTGTCGAAGAGCTCTGGGTACTGCAGCCGGAAGTTCACGTAGCCTGGCAGGAGGAAGGCAGAGGAACCCCTCAGGGAGCCAGCACATCTGGGGGTGGCACAGGGTGAACTTCCAGAGACCTGGACTCCTGCCTGGCTCCTCCACATGCGTCCTATGTATCGTGACTGAGCAGGATACGCAACCTCTCTGAGCCCCTTGTCACTTCTCAAAACACAGGAGGATACTATTGGCCTATCTCACCAAATTGCTGCAGTAATCAATGAGATTCTAGGTATGAACATCATTTGTAAATTGTGCATGCAGGAAATGTAATCCTAAGTCTAAGGACGATTATTACTTGTTATTTTCTCTTGCCAACAGGCAGAGGCACAGGCTCCCCAGGTGGGCACAGGGTTAACTGAGTAGCAGTGAGAAGACCCCAAGATAAAACCCCAACTCAAAGCAGAACACAAAGGCCCTTCCTGATTCCAGAAGCACTTCTATCACCTACAAACCCACCCTTACCCATCCTGAACAAGTCTGCTGCCTCTCTACCCTTGAACTCTAGAGGAACCAGGCCCAGGACAGGTGTTCGGGGAGCCTTTGCCTAGGAAATGCCACTGACCTCCTCACTGTTCCTACTGCACTCTAGGTATACCCCCATCACCTTGCTGTTCCCTCTGCCCTACTGCTCTTCCCTCAAGATACCTCATTTCCTTTGCATTTTTCTTCAGAAGTTCCCTCTGCATGAGAGTCTTCCTGGCCACTTTACCTAAAACTCCAACCTCTCAGTTCCTTACATCCACCTCCTTTATTTTTCCTTGTTATCCTTCCTTTTTTTTTTTTTTTAATTAAGATTTTATTTATTTATTCAGGAGAGACAGAAAGAGGCAGAGACCTAGGCAGAGGGAGAAGCAGGCTCCCTGCAGGTAGCCTGATGTGGGACTTGATCCCAGGACCCCAGGATCACAACCTGAGCTGAATGCTCAACCACTGAGTCACGCAGGTGTCCCTCTTTTCTTACTACCAAACAGTCTATGTAATTGTATTTTATTTCTCTGGTTTATTATTTCTGCCGTTAGTGCATAAAGTCCATGAAGGCAGGCAGTTCTTGTCTGCTTTGCTCTCTGCTGCATCCTTTGACCTAAGAGTGGTTGGCACAGGTTGGCTGTGAATTAACATTTGGGGAAGGAAGGAAGAAGTAAGAAAAGGAGAATCGTTAGGCTGTGGAAGACCTGTTCGGACACCCCTTCTCTCACCCTGGCACCAAGGCACCAAGGATTAGATTTCCTCAGGAAACTTGTCTTCAGCCAGACAGCAGGGCCTGGGCAAATCTGTCCTCAGGGCTCCTTCCCAGGGCTGGCACCATCTCCAGTCCCACTCTGCATGAGGTTTTAGGTACCCGCAGGGCCTTGGGTACACACTGCCTTTCCTGCAGCACTCCAGCCAAAGCCTAGGCTGGGCAGGAGCAGGGTGGGGACCGCTCTCCAGGACCAGGAGATAGAAGGGAGCCAGACCTTTAGGAATGTGGAGGCTGTTTAGTTCACAATCCATGTTTCGGGTAGGGACAGGGAGGCTCAGAGAAAGTGACTCTCACAGGGCAGGGAATGAGCAGGAATGGAGGGGATGGTCTGTTCAGTGCCCGGGTGAGAGTCAATGCCATTCCCACCACCTCTGCGCCCGCCCTCCAACCTTCAGGAGGCCATCCCTCCAGCGCCAGCCTCACCTCGAAGCAGCTCGTAGGCACGCCCCACATGGAACTTTCGCGCGCGGATGAAGCGCAGGAAGAAGGCACTGTCCCTTCCCTGCACCCTCTCGGCCACCGCCCTGGCCAGCTCCTGCCCGGTGGCAGCCTGCGCCTGCACCAGCTCCTGCAGCTCTCGCACCACCTCCTCCCGGGTCTCCTCCCTCTCGTTCAGCTCGTCCTTGGCCTGGAACAGGGTGGGATGGAGGCAGCAAGTCACTGGCAGGTGCACGGGTGCAGAGCAAGACGCACAGGCTGGCTGGCCACGGGGTGGAGGGTTGCCTCTGGGGCCATCACTCCTTGGCCCCCAAGAGCAGCATCTGCACTGGCAGCACCTCAGGCCACCAGTTACATTTGCAGAAAATTGGGTCAAACTGCCCATCCTGAGTTTGTTGGCCAGAAACCGCCAAAGGTGTAAAGGTGTAAACGTTTCCAATGACAATAGCCTCCACTTCCTGGAGCCCTTACATAGACCTCTGCTAAGGCTTTTAAATACCGCAGGCCACAACCTATCACCATAAAGTGCTTATTTACGTCACATTTCTCAGGGTGAGCATACTAAGACACATAGCGGGGAAGGTGACCCAGGCAGGAAGGGGCAGAGCTAAGGCTCACACTCAGGTTGGACTTTCAATCACTTCTTTCTGCAGCTTCCCAGGCTTGATTCTGATCTTTTCAAAAACAAAGATACCCCCAAAGACAGTAGTCTGCCACGCACCCCTGCCCTAGAGCCTCATATTCCTTCCCTTGGCTGGGCCTGAAGAACCCTTCCCCAGGCCTCAGGCAGCTCTGTCCTTGGGCAGCATGAAAGGGGAGAAGGCAAAGGAGGGGGACTCAGGTCTGGGAGAACTCAGCACTTTTCCCTTGAGATGCATAGGTTAGCAGAGATGGAACCTAAAAGCCCAGGCTCAGCTAAGCCCTGAGACAGCTCTGCCAATTTCCACAGAGCACAGTCTGATCCTCTCTGAGCTTGTGCAACAACCTTCTTTCAGAGGTACATTAGGCAAGACCCAGAGAGGAAAAGCAACCTGTTCATGGTCATACAGCAAGTTGAAAGTTAGGTCTGATTCTAGAACTCGGCCTCTTGCCTATCCAATGAGGGCAGCAGCTGGATTCCTGTTCCCCTGGGCCACTTGCAAACCAATGTTCCCCATATTTGAATCTAGGATGAGCCCTACATCCTGGCATTGATAACAAGGGACTCTGTTGGTGCTGTAGTCTTGGATTAGGCTGGCCTGGATGTCATGGAGGTCATGGCCCTGACCTCCAGGATGGCCCCTAGAACAAGCCAGTCCATTAGGTCTAGGATAGCCTAGAGCGCTGGGGCTGGACTCGTTCTACAGGAGAGAGGATGCTATCAACATTCCCCCCTTGTTAGCCTGCCCTAGCCACCCCTCCCCACACCATGGGCCACCTCACCTTCTGTAAGGTATGACGAGGGAGCTGGCTGCAAGGGCCAAAGACAGGCCCATGGTCCTTGGTTGTAAGCCGCTCCAGCTGGGCACGGAGCTCCTGTTCCTCTTCAGGGACCACACGGAATGTGCCCACCTAGGCAGAGAGAAGTCAAGAAGAAGCAGGGAGAGCCCCCATCAATCCAGTTAAATGGGCCTGCTCAGACCTTAAATTAGTACTTTTGTGCAAGGTCACTATTAAGCCTTCTCCCTTTGGGTGGGGTCATGGACCACAGAAAGGTTGTTATGAATGGGTGCACATAACCCTGAGTGGACCAAACAATAGAGAAAGGGGAGGTAGGGAGGGTGGGAAGGTAGATGGAGAGGAGACCAAGGCACAGGGATACTCACGCCTTCTGACATGCTGCCTCTGGGAGACTCAGAGTCCTCAGAAAAAGAAGGGCCCTGCTTTTGTACTGGCCTCTCCAGGCAGCCTCCTCCCTAGGGCAAGAAGTCAAGGCTGCAGTAGTCTGGATGGACCATTCCATTATTGTCTCAGAACAGTAGATCTCAAACTTTTGAGTTCATGAGAATCACCTGAGGAATCTGGTAGAAATGCGGGTGCCTGGGCCTGCACCTTGTGACTCTAAGTCAGGAGGTCTGAACTGGGGCCCAGGGATCTGTATTTTAAAGCAGGACCCCCAGATGGCCCTGAAGAAAATGATCCTTGGGCTACACTTTGGGAAACACTCCTTTGAGAAGGAACACACACAAAAATACTGCAAACCTTTGCTCTTAAGGTGAGTTGGTCCAACCAGGGAAAAACTAGCTTTGGCCTCTATTCTGAAGTTACATGATCACTGCAGCGTAAGGCAATCCCCCTCCTTCTGTCTGTGGTCTTCCTTCTCTTTCCTAAAGGGGGATCTCAGAAACTTCCCAGCCTAGTGGATGGCCCCTTCTCCAGTGCATTCATTCTCAGGAGGGGTGATGACTAGTCACATAAACAGATTACTGAGTGTGTGTTCTGTGCTTTGTGGTGTACTGGGTAATTTAAAATCCATATCTCAGAGCCAGAGCTGGCATTATTCTTCCCATATTACATAGCAAGAAGCAGGTCCCAGGGAGAATAAGTGAGTTGTCCACTGTCACACAACCAGAAATAGCCAAGGATCGGGCCTTGAGCCCAGGCTGTGACTTCCCATCAGCACTGAGACCCAGCCCTTTGTGGCATAAGTTGGACCTGGGTTCAAATTCTGTCTCTTCCACTTGCAAGCTATGTAATTTAACCTGAGTCTTGACTGTCCCCTGTAAAAGGGAGGTGGAAGGAGGGTAATGAAGGTTAAATTAAATACTGTGCACAGAAGCAACGCTTGGGGGATCCCTGAGTGGCGCAGTGGTTTAGCGCCTGCCTTTGGCCCAGGGCGCGATCCTGGAGACCCGGGATCGAATCCCACGTCGGGCTCCCGGTGCATGGAGCCAGCTTCTCCCTCTGCCTATGTCTCTGCCTCTCTCTCTCTCTGTGACTATCATAAATAAATAAAAATTAAAAAAAATTTAAAAAAAAAAAAGAAGCAACGCTTGGCCACCAGAACAAATCTCATCCATTGCCCACATGACAACCTGCTCAACCCACTGTGTAATTTTGGAGACAGCTCTCCTGTTTCCAGATTTTTTTCTCTCTCTTGCCTAAACATCCCTTTTAAGGGGCCATCACCACCCTGCTCCTCTCTCTGACCAGGTTTCCACTGATGTCAGTTCTGTCACCTATTCACTGTTGATGAGCAGCAAAGTTGGGACTTGAACCACCACTTTGACAGTTAGAGCCAAGACCTCTCCAGACAAACTCCCTAGGGAAATGGGTGTTGCAGAAAACCCTTTAGGGTCAGAGAAACCTGGGTTTGAACCGAGAATTGTCATTTACCACCTGTATGACCTTAGGCAAGTTATTTAACCATTCTGAGCCTCAGAATTGGCCATAAAAACTGTACCTACCAAATAAAGTTGTAATGAAGATCCTACCATTTTTATAAGGTACCTAGCACAGTGTTTTGCTTTAAAACATGATTTCCCTTCCCTTTCTTAGCATCAGATTGATCATTACCCTCGTGTGCCCAGAGAGACTTGGAGGATCCCAGGGAATATCTGAGGATCTCCTAATTCCCTGCCTCTCCCACTCCCTAGACCCAGCCAGGACAGGGAACCCACCAACAGGAACCAAACCTAAGCTTTCTCTCTGGCTGGCAGGAAGTTTTCCAAATGTGTGGATGCAGAGATGGACTGCAATACTGATGTGGCCTCTCTTACTTGGGTTTTGCTGGAACAGGAATGGAAAAGCTGATAGAATTGTCTTGAGGAGCTTAGATGAGAGAGATAGTGGCTAGACACCCTCAGCCAGTTAAGGCGATCATTAGGACAAAATAGATGGTTAAAATCAGTACAGCAGCTCTTTTTAAAATAGGCCCAATCTAATTAATTTTGAGTTTTTAAAATACTGATTTATGAACCGTATACAGTGAAAATACATCCACCCCCCCATTGCATACTGAGGCTGTTCCGTGCCATCTAAGGATGCCCAATAAAATACAGAAAGCCCCCATCCCACATCCATTTCAGATGAACAACAAAAACCTTGGAAGTATAAGTATGTCCCATGAGACATTTGGGACATACTTACACTAAAATAAGTCTTTATTCATCTGAAATTCACATTGAACTGGGTGTCCCATATTTTTTATTTGCTAAACCTGCCATCAGGGTTGATCTAGCACAACTTGGAGAATGGCCAGTTGGTTTCAGTTTTACAGGCAGCCTGGTATGTGGTCTCCCCACCCCCAACTCCTCACCCCAGTCCTGGGCTCCCTGGCCCAGCCAGACCCCTGCCACTGACTTACCTCCCAGCTCCTCCTTAGGGCTACCTGGTGCCTGTGTCCTCCTCCTCCTCCTCCTTGTTGGGGAGCCTGGAGGTTGCCTCCACTGGGGGCGTGGTCCGATCAGCAGGCTGGGATTAGTATGTCACAAGGAAGTTCTCAAGGCCCACAATTTCCTGTTAAATCAGGTTTACAGGGAGGCCCAGATTGGGGCAAGTGAAGCACCAGGGGGAGAGGGGATCAGCCTGGGCCTGGCTGCAGCCACCTCAAAGCCCTCCTTTGTGTACTTCTGCTCCCAAGTTCCTGCTCAGCCATGTGGAAGCCCAGCAGTGGGGGTGGGATCTGGGCCAGTCGCATTTCCTCCTCCTTGCTCTCTCTCTCATTACAGGGGGGTGGGGGGGTGTAGGGGTCTGAGAAAGCACATCCCAGGGTAAGACATGCAAGAGATGGAGGGAAATTTTAAATGTGATTGTGGATGCAGTGGCAGCTGTGGTAGCCTGTCACTCTTCCGCTGTCGTGGTAGGTGTCACCTCCACAGTGAGTGGGGCCAGTTGGTTAAGGAAGAGTGGGAAGAGGGCAAGACAAGACAAGCCACCTTCTAGGCCACCTTCTGCTGGGGAATCAGACTGCCCACTTTCAAGTCCTAACTCCAGCACCTTCTAGCTGTGAGAATTAACTTCAACACCCTGACTCAGTTTCCTTCTCTGAGAAGTAGGGATAATGAGAGGACAGGCTCATGGCTTTAGTAAGGATGAAAGAGCTTAGCTTAGTGCCTGATGCTTAGTAAACGTAAATGCTCAGTAAATGCTGGCAGTTACTCCAAATACACAATCGATATACATCTGGGTGGAGGGGACCCATGTTATCCAACCCTCAACCCAACCCTCTGTAAAACAAGAAACCCCTCTGCTGCCCCTCAGCAAGTGACTTCCCAGTCTCTGCTTTGGTATTTCTCTGCTCAGGGTCAGGGAGGATGTGAGATGATTACTTTAGGGTATTCTTCCTCTGGGATTCCAAGGGCAGGGAGCTCCCTGTTTTTACTACTGGACAACCCTCCTTGTGTTAAAACTCATCCTTGGTCTGACCCCCAAGCAGCCTTCTCTAATGTCACCCTTGGTCCTGATTTTGCCTCCTGGGGACATCTGGGACAGGGTCAAGATTCTGTGCACAGGATGTTTTCCAGAATCCATTCCCAGAAATGCTTTTTGGTTTTCCCCAGAAATAGTTCTTGGTTTTCAACCCATTCCTATTTGGATGGGTTTGGTATCCCTTCACTCTCCTTGTGCCCTCTCCAGACGTCCTGGGGCTTATGAGAGTGTCACTGAGGGGCAGCCTCTGGGAGCAGTGCCTGACTCCCACTTGTCTCTCTAGACCCCTTCCTCTAGAGCAGGCCACAATGCCTGGGCTTGGATCTTGGGGTGCAGCTAAGTAACCTTGAGCTCTTTCCTGTGACAGCCCCTTCCCTGGGCTTCTGCTTGGGGTGCTGTCTCACTTTTTGGGCTGTTTCCCTCCCAAGTCCTTCCTGGAGCTGGAGAACCCCTCATTTCTATCATTCTGCTCCCTGGGGGGAGCATTATCCAATACTGAAGCCACTAGCTGCGTGTAGGAATTTAGCATCTGAAATTAGAAAATGGCACCAAAGAACTAAATTACAATCTTAGTGAACTTAAATTTAAATTAAAAAGTTGGTACTAGGTCCAGTTGTTGGAAAATTGCTAAGTACGTTTGGAATAATTTAGGTGTATGATCATACTTTTTAACTATAAATACTGTGATCAGCTATTTCTGATAAAAAGTTCAACATAAGGTGTGCTGTAAATATAAAATATCTACTGGATTTTGAAAACTGAGTACCAAAAAAGGGCATGATTTTTTTTTTTTTATTATTTTAGAGAAAGAGTGGGAGAGAGTATGTGTGCAGGGGGAGGGCAGAGGGAGAGAGAATCTTAAGCAAACTCTCTGCTAAGCACAGAACCCAACTCAGGACTTTATCTCAAGACTGTGGGATCATTACCTGAGCCAAAATCAAGAGTCAGAGGCTTAACTAACTGAGCCACCCATGCACCCCAGCATAAAATTTTCTTATTAAGGATTTTTACATGACTTAGCATTCTGAAGTGGTAGTGCTTTGGATATATTGGGTTGAAAATATATTAATTGTTTCTTTTTCCTTTTTTTTATGTGGTTATTAGAAAATTTAACATTTTTCTAATTTTAATGACTTCTGTTGTATTTCTAATGGACAGTGCTGGTCAAAACATTGATACTCATTGAAGTGTGGCTTGTAGACCAAGAGTATCAGCATTGTTTGGGAGCTTGTTAGAAATGCAGAGTCCCAGACTCTTCCCCAGACAGGCTAAATCAGAATCTGCGTGTTATCAAGGACCCTCCCCTGCATCCGCACCCCCCACCCCTGTGATTCCTACACACAGAAAAATTTAAAAGGTTCTGCCCATCTCCCCCTCCTGCCTGTGCCCAGCATAGTACGTTGCCTGACCTCTCATGTCCCATCAGCTCTGAGGATTGGTAGGGAAGTAAACTAAGGACTATCCTTGCCACCATCCTCTTCCTCTTTGGGCAGGCCCATGGTGGCCTGGTTGAGGGTGTAGGAAGCAGAGAAAGGAGGACAGAAGTGGGGATCCTAACCGGATTCTAGGCAACAGTTGCTCTCAGGCCTCTGCTGGACATCTGTAAAACAGTGTTACGGGCTGAGTTGTGTTCCTCCAAATTCACATACTATCCTCCAGGACCTCAGAATGTGACCATTTAGAGATAAGGCCTTTAAAGGGTACGTCAGGGCAGCCCAGGTGGCGCAGTGGTTGAGCATCTGCCTTTGGCCCAGGGCATGATCCTGGAGTCCCAGGATCGAGTCCCACGTTGGGCTCTCTGCATGGAGCCTGCTTCTCCCTCTGCCTGTGTCTCTGCCTCTCTCTCTGTGTGTCTCTCATGAATAAATAAATAAAATCTTAAAAAAAAAAAAGGGTACGTAAGGTAAAATGAGTCCTCAGCAGAGGCTCTAATCTAAGTGAGTGCTGTCCTTATATGAAGAGGAATTTTGGACACAGACAGTTACAGAGGGAAGATGATGTGAAGACACAGGGAAAAGATAACCATCTACAAGCCAAGGAGAGAGGCCTCAGGAGAAACCAGTCCTGTGGTCGCCTTGATCTTGGATGTCTAACCTCTAGAATTGTGAGAAAATACATTTCTGTTGCATAAGCTACACAGTCTGTAGAACTCTGTACAGCAGCCTTAGCAAACTAATGTAGATGTGTTAGAGGATATGCCCCCAGGTACTTCACAGAATGTGAGCATCGTGGGAGACCAGGGGGACAGGTGACAGCTCAGGTTGCCCCACACGAAGGAGCCACAGAAGGCCCAGCACAGGCTACTTAAAGCCAGCTGATGGGGTGCATCATGAGGAACACTCCTATGCACCAAGAACACTTGTGGGTTAATGGCACAGACCTGACAAGAAGGTCTACACAGAGCTTTTATGGATGCTCGCAGGCCACGAGGCCCTTTTTAGGAAGCAGAGCTTTCTATGGCATTATTTTCTGCTCCCAGCCCTGCCTCTACTCTGTCTACCCCCACCCCCAAGAGTCACGTTCCTGTCTAGCTCCTGTGCTAGAACAATAGTGCCCTTGTGTGAAGGGAGTCATGCCCTCATTGGCTCAGACACCTGTGCTGACCATGTTGGCAGAAACTGTGGGCTCCCTGGCTCTCTCTCCCAGGCTAGAGGCAAGCAGGGAGGGGGCTCAGATTGGCTGTGCCCCCATTCTGTACTGTGACGGGTGCCTGACCTGTGTATCTCTCATCCAGTCCTCCCAGATGTGAGGGAGAGAGTATGTTCTCCCATACAGAATAGGGAGCTGAAAATCAGAGAGGTGGGAGGCCTTGCCCAGAGCTACTTGGTCGGTAGGGAGTGGGGTCCCAGGTCACTCTAAAGCCCTTTTACCATTCAACATGCAAGGCTGTGCTCCCTCCTCCAGAAGGGAGAATGACACAGGTGCTACTTCCTCCTAGCTTCTGGGGGAGGTGACATCACCTCACTTTCCTGGAAACAACCCCAATGGGCCAGAGTCTGGTCACTGCCATTCCCTTTTGGCCAGTAATTGTCCTGGAAAAAAGGAGGACCCTATGGAATGCCCTGGCCTCAACCCCTCCTTTGGAAAATGGGAAAACCCGAGTTGAGGGACATTCTGTACCTTCCCTAAAGTTTCACCGTGGTAATGAGAGTGCCTTGACTCTCCCACAAAGCTAAAAAGCTGCAGGTCTCCCAGAGCCATGCTCATTCCCCAAAGAAGGGTTGGCCCTGTGGCAGTGGGGGGATCAGGCAGTGCCAGAGATGAAAGCAGTAAGGATAAATAAAATCTATGAGTATGCCCATTCAAAACATATTATAAATTAAATAAGGTTTAACAACATGAGTTAAAACAAACAAGTGCTGTCAGGTGGGAACTTGGCTTTAACTTCCCACCACCCAAGGAAAGGATGTGTTTGCTGTGGACTGAATTTGTGTCCACACCCCCCCACCCCCAAATCACACACTGAAGCCCTACCCCTCAATATGATAGTATTAGGAGGTGGGGCCTTCGTGAGGTAAATAGATTTAGAGGAGGTGGGGCCCTTGTGATGGGATTCGTACCCTTATGGGAAGAGGAAGAGATACTAGAGTGCTCTCTTCACACAGACTCATTAGGGGAGCCCCTGAGAGAGTGGCCATCTGCAAGCCAGGAGGAGGGTTTGCACTAGAACCTGACCACGTTGGTGCCCTGATCTCATACTTTCAGCCTCCAGAATGACCAGAAAATAGGTATATGTTGTTTATGCCACCCAGTCTGTGGTATTTTGTTATGGCAGTATTTGTAGGAGGGAAGCTGTAGAAAGAGAGAAGTTAAAAACTCAGGTCAGAGAGGGGTGAGAGTGAGGTCCTTACTGAGAAGGTGGGAGGGGGCGGGACTCAATGCCTCAGTAGAGGTACTAGCCCTTGCCTGGGTGGTTGAACACTCTCCCATTGCTACAGGGAGCTGAAGGAAAGAGTTGGTGCTGGTGACAGTGAGTTTAAAGATTTGGTAGTAAAGGGCAGCCCCAGTGGCCCAGGGGTTTGGCGCTGCCTTCAGCCCGGGGCGTGATCCTAGAGACCTCTGATCGAGTCCCACATCAGGCTCCCTGCATGGAGCCTGCCTCTCCCTCTGCCTGTGTCTCTGCCTCTCTCTCTCTCTCTCTCTCTCTCTCTCTTTCTCTCTCTCTCTCTCTCTGTCATGAATAAATAAAATCTTAAAAAAAAAAGATTTGGTAGTAAAGCTGAGGTCATTGGTCAGGAGTGAAAAAAAGAGAAGAGTTTGAAATCATCCTCATGAAGGCAGGAAGGATAAACTTACTAGGGAAGGTTGTAGAAATGTTGAAGGCCCCCTGGAGATCATTTACAGTAGCTTCTTGCAGGCACCCATGAGCACAGCCATGCAAACTGTCCAACACAACCCAGAAGCCCAGGTGTCACTCCCACGGAGGGAATGGCTGGCTTCATAAAGGGGCAGAGTTTGCCAGGTGGGTGGGATGGGAGGACCGGCAGGATGAGTCGTTGATGAGTCGTGACTTGAGAGGTGGTGCAGGATGGGGCCAGGAGTGTGAGTGGCTCTGGTGACCTGGATGCAAATGGAGAGATAGGGCCAGAATCAACCCAGAGGCCCTGTGTAAGATGGATGACCACCCCACTTCTGCAGCCTTTCTGTTTCTGTGAATTTCACTCCTATCGATACCTCCTGGAATCATACATATTTGTCTTTTTGTGACTGGCTGATTTTACTTAGCGTAATGTCCTTTGGGTTCATCCACATTGTAGTAAGTGACAGACAGCATTTGCTCCCTTTTTAATGCTGAAGATATTCCTTTGTATGGATATATTGCATTCTGTTTATTCATTCACTTTCCAGGAATATTTGGGTTGTTTCCACCTTTTGGCCATTGTGAACTATGCTGCTATGTGTGGGTGTACAGATATGTGCTTAATACCCTGATTTCAATTCTTCCATATATGTATACCCAAATATGGGATTGCTGGAGGAAACTAACACTATGGTGTGTTTCTAAGTGCTAGGCTTTCTTATGTGCTACCATGATTATTCTCTTAAGCAATGTCACCCTTAAATCCAGGCAACTGGAGTTCATGGGCTGGGTAGCTCCATGGGCCTATTAGCTCCCTTCCTAGATGATGAGATCAAGAAGCCTAGAGGGTGTACCCACCAAAACCCACATGCCTTCCTTCAGATCACCCTCTGGGTACCTTCCAAAACATCCCCAAACTCATTTCCTTGCCCTATCAAGCCCCTTCCTAGGTCCACCCTCTCCAGGGTAGGCCAGCTAGAGTGCACAGTCGTAGGCCCAAAGGGTAGCCAATGTCAACTCTAGGGGTGAAGCATGGTGTGAATGGATCTTCAGGCTGTTTGTTTACATGCAAGCATATGAAGTCCCTCATACTACAGGACCCAGTATCCTGAATGATAGGAGGCCTCCATTTGTCCTTTTCTCTGGACTCTGGAGTCTTGCAAATATCAGTAGTTATAATGTTATCACATACAAATGTGAACTACTGACAAGGTCTGGAGAACATTTAGTTCTGCTATTGTAAACCTGTTTTTAATTGGCTGTGCGGTTTTTTTTTTTTTTTAAGATTTTATTTATTTGTTCACAAGAGACACACAGAGAGAGAGGCAGAGACCCAGGCAGAGGGAGGAGACGCAGGCTCCATGCAGGGAGCCTGACTCCAGGATCACGTTCTGAGCCAAAGGTGGACGTTTAACCGCTGAGCCACCCAGGCATCCCTAATTGGCTGTGTTTTCTAAAGTCAGGGTATCACTAGCTGCCCAGTGTAGGAGTGTAGTTGGTTGAAGCAGATGAGTAAGATACGCTGCTTAGGAAGGAAGCCTGCGCCAGAGTGGAAAACATTGTTATTAATTTGAGTCTGTTCTTTTCCTTTGCATATGTAACACTCATTAGTGCTAATGGAAAACACAGAAGCTATATTCATGCAACAAGGAGAAAAGACACTGTACTGTCAATGCCACTGGGTAGACACTCAGGCAGTTCAGTAAGTGCACCTAGGATGCACACCTGGAGATTCAAAAAGGCAAATGAGCTGTTTGACTACACAAACACATGAACTTGTAGCTGTATGGCCCATAAGCAGCCTAGAAGGGAGGCTTCGTGGGGAGAAGATGAGGTAAAGTCATCTGTTTCCTTGGCAAGCTAAAGGATCCCTTTCAGGAGTCATCTTTCAATTCAGCTGTTGTGTTTTAAGCACATATAATAACTTGATATTGGCCCAGAAACGTGATAGAAGTAAAAGTTGCTTAAGATGGGTCATAAGCAGCACCTGGGTGGCTCAGTCAGTTAAGTGTCTGCCTTCAGCTCAGGTCATGATCCCGGGGTACCGGGATCAAGCACTGCATGGGGCTCTGCTTCTCCCTCTGCCCCTCATCCTGCTCAATCATGCTGTATCTCTGAAATAAATGAATAAAATCTTATTTAAAAAAAGAAGCGGGCAGCCCGGGTGGCTCAGCGGTTTAGCACTGCCTTCAGCCCAGGGTCTGATCCTGGAGACCCAGGATCAAGTCCCACATCAGGCTCCCTGCATGGAGCCTGCTTCTCCCTCTGCCTGTGTCTCTGCCTCTCTCTTTCTCTGTGTGTGTCTCTCATGAATAAATAAATAAAATCTTTAAAAAAAATTTTTTAAAAAGTAAATTAAAAAATCTTATTTAAAAAAAGAAGCATTGGGATGCCTGAGTGGCCCAGCGGTTGAGTGTCTGCCATTGGCTCAGGGAGTGATCCTGGATTCCCGGGTTCAAGTCCTACATCAGGCTCCTTGCATGGAGCCTGCTTCTCCCTCTGCCTATGTCTCTGCCTCTCTCTGTGTGTCTCTCATGAATAAATAAAAATCTTTTAAAAATAAAATAAAATAAAATAAAATAAAATAAAATAAAATAAAATAAAATAAAAGAAGTGTCATAAGCAAGGAGCCGGTCTGGACAGCTGAGAGGCATCATTCTCTTCCAGCAGCTGAAGACAGCTGTCTTCCAGAATTGGCCAAGTAGACCCATACCACCCTGGGGACCTGGGTGGGGGGGTGTGTGTGAGAAGGGTCAGGCTCCAGACTGAATGCTTCTGATCTTACCATTCTTTCACATGCCATTTGGCAAGTCCAGATCTGAAGGACTCATCATCACCATTCCCCCACCACCAAACCACCTTTCCCTGTGTTCCCTGGGTTAGTTCCCTGGCAGTATCAACCCACCCTCACCTGTCACTCAAGCCAGAATATTACTCAGCTCCTCCCACACTCCCCAAAGCTGGTGCACTAGCTAGACTTCCTAATCTCTCTCACATGTGGTCCACTTCTTTCCTCCTGTCCCCATTGCGACCACCTATTTCCAGGGCAACTTATAGCCCCCTAAAGGGTCCTAGCTTCAGTCCTCTCCACTCCCATCACCTCTTTTTTAGACTCCAGGGCACCCACCTGCCAGATTTTTCTACAATGTAAATATAGTCACGACCTTCCACTTCAGCTGTTCTCTGCTACCACTGGTATGAAAAGAATTTCCAAGCCCCTGCCTTCCCACCCCCTTACCCCAAGCACCTTCACCTCCTAGCCAGGGGCTTGCTCACTTGTTGCTCTCAGGCCCTTTGCACAAGCTGCTCCTTCAATCTAAAATAGACTCTAGATCTGCCGCTCCATTGCTCTTTTTTTTTTTTTTTCAATTAGCAAGAGGGTTTATTGAACGTTTGCGCAAACTGGCTCTCCGCCTCCGAGGAGGAAAAGAGCCCCGATTAGCAATTACAGGTATCTTTTAAAGGCAAAAGGAAAGAAACCGCCTAAAGACAAAAGAACCGCGGGAGTCGCATGGCATCCAGGTTGATTTCACAGAGGGTCAACATGAACCTATTCAGGGACATTCCAATCAGGGTGTGGGGGGAAATGGTTTTCTTATTGTAAACAGAATGCTTTTAGTTGCTAAAATTTCAGGAAGGCGCCTGGATGGGCTGCCTCTGGATTAGGGCTGGCCCTACTTAGAAGGGGGAAGGTTTCTTCATTCCCTCCTCTTGTTTGGGCTGATTTTAACCTTAAAATCTTAGGGAACATTTATTTCTTCAGTTTGGAGGGCCCGACATTGCTGAGTTAATACCAGAGCTTGGGTAATAGACAATCTTTCTCGGATGAACTGGAGCAGCCGGTAGAGGACGCAGGGGCCGAAAGTTAGCAGCAGGAGCAGGATAACTAGAGGGCCTAGAATGGTAGAGATTAGGGTGGTCAACCAGGGAGACTGATCAAACCAGCCCTGCTGGGCCTCCCGGTCCCTTTGTCTTTTATTTAACCTTTCCCTGAGTTTGGCCATGGAGTCTCTGATGACTCCAGAATGGTCTGCATAGAAACCGCATTCCTCTCCCAGGGCCGCACACAGTCCTCCCTCTTTCAGGAATAGTCAATCCAAGCCTCTCCTGTTTTGAAGTGCTACTTCTGAAAGTGAGGGGAGGGACTGTTCTAACTTAGAAACGGACTGCTCTAGTGTCCGTAGACCCTCATCTACAGCTGTTTGAAGTTCTATATTGCTCTTTGCTGTACTGTTGGTTGTTCATTTAACAAATATTTACTGAACACATAGCGCTTTACTAAGCTATGCGTTAAATGCTGAGGTTTTGTAGGCGGAAGAACAAAACCAGGTGGGACTGGCCAGGTGGGATTGACATCTTAGGGGTGCTAGGGCACGTCCCCTAGCACAAGGAGTAGGACACTTTCATCTGCCTTCCAGGGGTTTCCAATGCAGACCTGTAGGGGCCATCCTTTCATTTGGTCCCTATCAGCACTGACTCCTAACCTAACAGTAACCAAGAAGTGTTACCCGGTCAAAACCACACGCTAGGGACGCCTAGGTGGCTCAGTGGTTGAGCATCTGCCTTGGGCTGGGGGGTCTGGGGGGGCTGATCCCGGAGTCCTGGGATCGAGTCCCATATCAGGCTCCCCACAAGGAGCCTACTTCTCCCTCTGCCTATGTCTCTGCCTCTCTCTGTGTGTGTCTCATAAATAAATAAAATCTTAAAAAAAAAAAAAACGCTCCAACAACGTTCCAGCCACACTGCGCATGCTCTCCGCAGTCCCGAATGCGAGTTTGCCTGCTGCGCCTCCCCGCGACTGCGAGTGGGAACGTCCGAGGACTCCCTGCCCCTTGTGCTTTAATGGTACACCCCACGCGCATGCGCCTGGGGAGCGGAACTAAGCCGCGGGAGGCGGGGCCTGTCGTGTCCCGTGACGGAAGTGCGGCTGCGTGCGGTAGAGCGGGCTTTTGGAACTTTGTTGTGGTGAGGCCGAGGTAACCGTGCGGAGGGGCTTCGCTGGCTGCGCGGGTGCAGGGACTCGGCGCCGGCGTGGGAGGCCGCGGGGCTGGGAGGGC